TTAGCGGCCTAGTGTCGGGTGTAAACACCTTCCACTTACCGTCATGCAGCATACAATTAACAATAATACATTCTATACACTTTGGACACGTTTCCTAATCTTTGATAAACTTATTAGTGGGATTATAAATTTGTTTGAACAGAGAGTGTGTGCGCGTGCGGACAGAACAGAGCAAAGCAAGGGAAAGAAATACAGAGCCTAATCTTCCAAACTCAATCCCCAATTCCAATTTGATTATATCACAAGAGTCAACAACCATACTCACAATTTCATCTTCGATTAAGGAATAACATATCAATGAATATTAATCTCCAAATTAAATTCTAACGAGAGATAAACCACGTAATCAATCATACGAAACTACGAACGTGAATTTCAAATCTATATACATAATCTAGCGTTAGATGTGCAAGTTCTGACCTCAATTAATTGGCGGATTAAAACAATTCAAAACTCAACAGTGAGGAAGATGGTGATCGGCAATAGAGAAGCAGCGGCGTCCAGATTCTAGGCAATTCGGACGGCGACCTGAGCGATGGCAGCGGCTGACCTCTCCCGGTCGAGCATCGTCTTTGTTGAGCTCTGTTCCGATCGCAGGGTACTAACTGTCACCTCTTGTCACCTCTTGTTTTGTAGAACTTTTGACGTAGTTTTTTAAAATGTAATTTTTATATCTTATTGATATACGGATATACCAATTTGTAAATAAAATGATTTCAAAAAGTAGAAAATTTTACTCCGTAACCCGCGTTTATTTGTAATCAAATTGGGGACGGAGGGAGTATTATATTAAGTTGGGTTATATGAATTAAATTTTAAAAGGATTGGATGTATAATAACTAAATTTGCATCTGTTTATCAATCTAATGTATTTAATCATATACAAATAATATTCGTTTTAAACAAATTCGGATTTTTTCCTCATATGAATGATAACAGAATTTTTTGTTATCTATTTACACCCCTACATCCAGTTTCTTTTATGAATGATCATGCGTTTCAAGACATCAAATAAGAGCATGGTGACCTATACTTTGAAATTCATTTCTAGAATTTCTTAAAACCCTTCTTGTGTATTTGTTCTAGATGGGATGGGTATGGTTGCTTCGAAATGTCTTGTTGATGGTTACTTCTGTGGATTAAAAAAGTCTGACCTTTTGTGTTCTTCTAGTCCCTTTTTAATCAATTACTTCATATTCCCCATAGATCTTCTCAATAGCACTTTTTCTTTGTCTACAATAGATCTTCTCATTTCATTTTTAACAATTAAAATACCATAACTACCCCCACTTACTTTATTTATTACACCTCACCCACCTCATTTAATGCACTCCACCCATATTTCATGAGCCTAACCCCTTTCATCCATCATTCTTCTTAGTTCAACAATTAGGGTTGTGTGTTTGCCAAGGAAACATATCACTACAAAAAAAACGCGGAATTGGCACGGCTTTTTGGCACGGACTGTAGTTTAAGTTTCCCGTGACTAAGGTATTAGGCACAGATTTAGGCACGGACACAAAACGCTGCCAATTTTGAAGCTCCACACCGTATGGCACGAAAATCCGGTCCGTGCCAAATATAGAGATGGCGTCACTCGTGACAAAATCGTTCCAAACTGATGATTGTAAGAAAAACGTTAAAGATATTAGGCACGGATATGTCCGTGTCAAAATTGTGTTCTTACAAATATAACATAAGTCACGGATATATCCGTGCCTTTATTTTGAAAATTTTCAAAATATTCAAAAAATTTCAAAAAATTTAAATACGCAGGGAGATTAAATTCCAAAATTCAAATATTTTGCCACGGACATATCCGTGCCATGGATTTTAAAAAATAAAAAAAATATTTTTTGTCACGGATTTATCTGTGCCTTAGATTTCAAAAAATTAAAAAAAAAACAATTTTGAAAATAAAAAAATGATAATACATAACAGGCCGTAATTCAAATACGGAATAAATCACTCATAGCATAATAATGTAGATTAATAAAAGTAATATCCATAATGAAAGTAATGTCTAGCATCCAAAAGAAGATCATCACAGACAAATGTTAATGATGAATAATTACAGATTTTCATTGTTTAGAAAACTGTTAACACCACAGTTATTTGAATTGTGTCCTTCCGGTTGAACGTTTGACATTTGGGGGAGGACCGTAGGTTGTTGAAAAACAGGCATGGGAGAAGGCAAAACCCGCGGGAATTAAAGGTGCTCCTCATGACTTTGTTTGTGCCCGCCGGCAAAACCCCGGGCAACAATGTGTAACGAAGCTATAAATGTAATAAAAAATAAATTAGTATTGTGTTTAGGACAACTTGTTGGCTGGAAAAAAATTAAAAAAAATTAAAAATCATACAAATAATATATGAGATAATAAAAAACAAAAAATTACCCCTTCAATTTGGCCTTAGTGATTAAGCGCGGAAGATCCCCGTACGGCACCGCACTAGCCTCCGTTGAAACTCTGTCTCCTCCTTTGCCGCCTCCTCCACCCTCGACCTCGACCTCAGCCTCCAAGTCGCCACCGGCATTGAATATGGACTGCGGGGTAGTAGTAGATGGCGATTTCTGTGGTGCTCGAGAGTGAGAACGCTGAAAGCTTCCCCTAGCGCGAATGCTACTGCGGAAGGAAGTACTCCTTGCTGAAGACATTGAAAGGAAAAGAGGTTATGAGGGAGGAGGGCGGAGGAGGATGGCGGCGAAGAAAGAGAAAAGAAGAGGAGAGTGGTTAATGAAAAAACGAGAAAAAACATGTAAGGGGTGGTAATATAATTAAACCGTAGGCACGGACGTAAGCACGTCCCCAACCGTGCCTATACCGTGCAGTAAATATCGGATTCTTGGGTAATGGTGTAGGCACAGCCGTTGTCGTGCCAAATTTCAATATCTCTGCGTGTGTCAGGCTTTTTGTGTGAGATCCATTCTAGGCACGGCTTTTTCCGTGCCTAATAGAGGGGATTAAATACGACAGTTTTTGGTAATTGCATAGGCACGGCCCTGTCCGTGCCAAACAAAATGAACTCTTTGTTTGTAAGGGTGCATTAATAGCATGTCATAAAACAAATTTATTGGGCTTGTATGTAGGCACGGCGGTTTCCGTGCCAAACTAAATGCCTGTGCAAGTGTGTCAGGCTTTTGTCTAGGATCAAAATTAGGCACGACTATTTCCATGAAAAAACAATCTTGTCCTTTTCGATTTTGAATTTTATGAGAAAGGTAGGGAATTGGAACAACTAAATCCGTGCCTATTGGTTAGAATAAACGTCGTCCGACAACACCGTTAACGTCTTAACGTTTACGCTATTGGCACGACATTTGGCACGGAAAAATGCTAAGCCAAATTGAAACGCAAATAGAAACATGCCATGTGGCTACTTTCTTTTTTCAGCGTAGTCACGGCACGTCCGTGCCTAATATTCCGTGCCAATTCCGAGAGTTTTTTGTAGTGTATGCTACTTTGTTTTCTCCTTGATTATGAGAATCTGACCTTCTTTCACTGCTCTAGTTACCTTTGTTGTTCAAATCTCTTGGTCTAAAATCATCCCTTGGATGATTATTTTTTAAAAAAATTGTTCCACTTCCTTAAAAAAGTAGACATCGCTTTAGTATTGTTTCTCTCTCAAATGAACAAAATACCAAACACAAACATATAATGATGATAAAAAGCCTTTGTATGTCTTACTCAAAACAATATATATTTCTATTATACAGCATATATGTCTACATAATGTATGTCATATACTCCCTCTGACCTAAATTAATGTTCATAATTTGACTTTGCGCAGAATTTAAGAAAAATAAAATTGTGTAATTGAAAGTGATATAAAGAAGAGAAAGAAAGGTGAGTTACAAAAAGCTTTTCAAAAAAAAGAACTAAGATTAATTTGAGATAACTAAAAAAAATATAAGGAAGATTAATTTAGGAGGAAGGAAATTTTATTTTATATGTAAAATGCAAGTGCTTTGAATTACAATATCATTAACATATATAGAGAATAATCATAACACAAGAGTATTCAATTCTAAAAACATATGTATTTCACATCTTCAGGCAACACATGAGTTGCTTCTCTTGTGTTTAAAATAAAAGAGAATAGATGGGAGAAGTAAGATCACAATGTTTTTAGATAAATTTGTAAATAGATTTCAATTTATACCAAGAACCCAAAAATAGTAAAAATCCATCTCAATCCACTTTTAAGAAGCTTTTAGAAATCTAAACTTTATAATACCATTAGATTCAAACGGATATTATACAATTTTGATTAAATGTGACTAAATTTTTAATGACCTAAAGTTTTAATTGAGTATCCAAAAAATACTACTCCCTCCGTTTGGAAAAAGTGTTCCTATTTTGACTTTGTGTAAAAATAAGGAAGTGTTAAATTGTAGTTGACTTCCAATTTTGCCCTTGATGTGATAGGTAAAAGTAAGATGTGATGGATAGATTATTAGAGATAAAGTATGATGTGATAGGTAAGGTATGAAAAAGTAAGGGTAAAAGTAGTTTTTTAATAGAAAGTGGAAGTGTTTTGTTGGAAGTGAAAAAAATGAAAGAAGTGTTTTAAAAAACGGAGGGAGTACATTACAAAATCTACGTTCAACACACTCCACAGGGTGTCATTACAAGTGGAGTATGTACGTTAAAAACATGGTAAAATTACTCTTAGAAGTTAGAACAAAGCATCCCAACTTTATTTTCATATATGCTTCTTGAGCCCAACCAACCTACGGAGGAGTACATTTGTAAGACATTATAACTAGGCTCTAAATTACTAACGCATATTATTACATAAAAATTATAAATCGCTAAAGATGTTTCAGTTAGCTAATTAAAAAAAACTGTACAAGTTCAATAAGCCAGAAAATTATAAACTGAATCTTGACCCTACTCGAAAGGAAAGCTTTACGTTTCAATTACATGAAACAAATTTAGCAACACACGCGACCATAGGGGAGTTCGGAAGAAGAAAACCCCTGGTGGAGTTGCATTCAGGTAGGGAGGGAGCTGTATTCATCAGGCTGGGAAGTTCTGTTCATGTTTGGCTAGTTTCAAATTTTGTAGGAAAAACTTCCCTGGCCCGTCCAAAAGTGTGCATGCCACTGCTTGTGAACCAATGAAGGGAACTCATGATTGAAGACCTGAGGATCAAACCAATTCTTCAGGCAAGCAGCTGAAAGGAAAGGAATAAAAAAAAGACCAAGCTGCCAGGCACCCATGATATGATATAGTTAGCCGAAAAAAGACAAGAGTTACAACACTCCATTTGGTTTACAATGAAAGCATCTGCTGAAGTTACTTTGATACCCAAAAAATGGTATTTCCAAACTCTTCTGAAGGCATACATATAGCTATGACTCTCTGTTGTGCTCATGCACAAGATTATCTTCTTCAATGCGCTGCAACAACTCCTCGTACACTTTCAAGCAGTTTGCAGCAAATCTCTCCATGGCCTCAAAGATATGATGTAGACCAGCCTGAAGGCTACTATTTTTGCAAGTGTCATTCTGGTAAATGGCCTGCTTGCTCATCATCGACAGAGCATTTTCCTCCCCAGAAGCCAAAATCTTTCTTTCTAATGCGGAAATCCCTTTTTTTATCTTCTGATCCTCCCTTTCAAGGTTCTTCATCTTTCTCTCCATATTATTATCATTCATCACCCTATGGCGCATTTCTTGCTTATCTCATTCCCACATGTGAAGGACATTTGTGGCAAAATCACGCATACTGTCTACAACTTCTTTCTCAGACACCCTATCCAACGATTGTGCCCAGTGATTACAGATAACAAACACAGGGGGAGCACCTATTCTACCAGGAGAGAATGGAACTATTCCATCAGGTGTTTCTTCAGGAACGTAAAGTAGGCATTTCATAAGCCAGTGATTCAGTGCTCTGATATAACCTCGCTGGGCACTTATCCAGCAAGAGAACCTTAGAGTCCAGTTTAGGAGATTGTGCTCAAGGTGCAAAGTGGCTTCCAGATGAGCATCACTAAACTGTTTTTTATTTGCAATGGCATCTAATCGTTTGGCTTCCACAATCGCATGGCACTGATTCTGATGGCACTCAAGCATGGATTTCCACATTTTGGTTAACCTAGAGATATGAAAAATATTAAGGGAAAGTGAAGTACCTTATCAACATGGAAGGCATCAAAATATTCAAAGGGAATTAAAACGCAACCAGTTACCCAATATGTAGTACTTCATGTTTCAATTTCCTGAAATAATATCTAACTAATGAATTAATTATTACCAATTCAGACACACCAAAATACCTTTTTGATAATTCTATAGATTAACTCTATCCCTAATTTACAGCCCCGCCTCCATCGGAGTGAGCCGCCACCGCCACACTACCACACATCTCCGCGGCATCAGCAGCGTCCTTGAATCAGCAGAACCTCGACAGAAGAAGAAGAAGAAGGAGGAGGAGGAGGATTAAGAAGAAGAGTTGTGAGGGAAGAAGAAAAAGGAGGGACGGATGATGGACTGGTTAGGAAAAGAAAGTATTTTAGGGTTATAATTAGGGTTATATCTAATAATTTAAGTCTAAAAGTACTTTAGTAAATGTACATTATTATTTAAAAATTAATTAATTACTATACAGAGAATATACACTACTAGGTCCTATTTAGGGAAAAAGGTTCAGTTTTAATATTATTAGGAGCAAATTTCACAATAATCAATCGCGTTCCTGGAACAACTAGACTATCTAGAAGAAAGTTGAAATACTAGCAGCAATATAAGTGCTGTTAATGACAATACTTGTAAGCACTCAAGCCCTACTAGAAGATGTTTCCCTAACCAATGTGGCAACTGGCAACATGTGTGTGTGTGTGTGCTGAAATACAAAACAATCTTGTTATAAGACCTGAAAAACGGCCATGAAACCATTTCAAAAACATTTAAAAGCAAAGAGGCCAAAAATAGACACACCTTAAAGCACATAGGCCAAAAATACACTATGGACATATGAAAAAATGCAAACTACTTACCCTAGTATGAATTCATTAAGTTGTGGCCACAACTCTTCATCCCTCAATTTATTTATCTTCTCAGAAATCTTATCAACAATTTGAATTGCAATTCGGATTTTTGTTGAAAGGCTCTTAACCAGAGTTCTTGTCACATCTACTCTGTGAGTCTCAGCACCCTTTTCAGCTAGTCGCTTCAATCTTTGACTTTTCTTATCATGAATTACCCGCATTTTCTCCTCAACCTGCATAGAAGGTGCTCCTTTAGTGTGCAGTGAAAAGAGGAAGTATAATACAAGACAACCCAATAACTCCCACAAGTAGGATATGGGGGTGGAGAAATGATAGATGATAAGAGGAAGAATAGAATAGCAGCAAAAAAGACCGGATATGCACACACCACAGTTTATGAACCTATATGAGAAAATTATGAGCTAAAGTGGGTTCCATTAGAATGAATGAGGACAATATGATAAAGAACATATTGTAAGCTAGGAGAAGTAGATTTTTAAGAATACTAACATGCTGTAAGAAGTAAAACAATAAGGAAACATACCTTAACTTCTTCATAGAGTTTCTTCTCCCAAAGATAGAGCTTTTGTAAGGTAGAAGAAAGACTTTTGGACCTTAAAGAACTTACTTCTCCTTCTACATTAAATAAAGCAGGATCAGACTTGTCACCTCCGGCACCTTTTGATGTAGAAGGTTGTGATGACAACACAAACAAGGAAGGAGTAAATGCGTGCAACATCTTGGAAGAAGCTGTCCCAAAATAAGCCCGTGAGTTTACTTTAAATATAATTAAAAAAAACAATGAGAGTCCGTTAAAATAACCTGGAACTTAGAACCAAGAAATTGTAAAGTATACTGGAAATAGTCACAAGGGAAAAAAATCCATTCATATTTCATAAAGATGAGAGCTTTCACCAGGAAACATTAAATCTCACAACTTCATCATATAAATAAGACAGAAAAAGGCAATCTTTTACCTTGATAGGCAGAGTGTTTGCGGTTGTAGGGTAGCTTTCCAACCTCTAGAATCTTAGCCAGTTCGCTGCCGGATTCCGATGCTCGTTCAAATTGAAGCTGAATCTCCCTCATGACATCCGAGTCTCCATTGAAACATCCTCGAGCCGTGAACCCTCGCACATTTTTGTGATCCTCTGATGTCCCTGGATCGTCAACCACTTTCTTATCCACGACATGCACCTCATATTCGACGGGATCGTTCTGCGCAGATACAGTTGGTCTAGCCCCCTGGTAAAGAGATTCCGGATCACTCGGCTTGTCATCCTCATCCTTTGAGGCAACCTTATTCGAATAGCTCCCGCCATGGTGTCTACCCCCATCCACAAACTTGTGATCCACATGGACTTTCTTCACAACCTCCTGCTCAGAATCATCTTCTTCCAGATCAGGAATTCCCTCCTCCTCCCTCACCTCCCTAGAATCCCGGCTTGGCGAGTAGGGACGGTAAAAATTATCAACACTCTCGAAAGGATTCAAAAAATCCCAAGCGGAGCCAGTTGGGGGTGGGGGTGGGGGTGGAGTTTGCTTGGAAGCAGATGAAGCAGGCTGAGATGATCTGTGCACGGGCTGGGAAGCGCCAAAGAAACCACCACCAGCATAATTGTAGAAAGAAGAAATGAGGCTGGGGTTGGGATGAGGGTGGTAAGAGGAAGAAGGAGAAGACGAAGAGATGTCACCCATGCGCACAGTGTCTGCCGCCATGGGCCGCTGTTGATAAGTAACAGAGGGCGTGGATTGGTTCCGCATGAAATTCATGTGCATAAATGTACCGGAAGTGGAGGCAAGAGGGGAAGAAGAATAAAGGGCGTCAGGATCGTCAGCCGCATAGGGGGTCTCAGATTGGTGGTGGTGGTGGTGCAAAGAGTCGCTATGGGAACATTCGTCGTCTTGGTCGTCTTCTTCTGAATCGGAGTGGAAGTGAAGGTGGGAGCCAGAGCTGGAGTGGTGGTGATAAACGGCAGCGTGAGGGTGAGGGGGCTTGATGTCGGCTTTGAGAGGGGGAGAGGAGGGGGGTCCATCGGAAGAAGAAAAAGAAGCATCGAGATCCAGATTGAAGAGACGGTGCAGCGAGGCACCGACTGATTTAAGGGAGTGAAGATAAGCTACGTGAGCCTCGGCCATGGCGTAGCGCTGGTGGATGGCTTCGTCCAAGAAAGCGCAACGCTCCCGGCAGAGGGCCACCGCCGGCAAGTCGTCGAGCTTGGAGCTGGTGCAACCCATTGACTTTTCTTTTCCAATAAATAAAAAATCTTTTCCTTTAATCTTACTATATACAATGGTAAGATGGATTTGTAAACAGTGTTCCCGCCATTTTCTACACCTCCTTTTGGGCTGGATTTGGGCCTATTGTTCATGGGCCGAGTTTCTTCCTATTTTGCGAGCCTGCAGTTGGCAGCTACTTTATCGGGCTGCGGTTGACAGCTACTTTCTCGGTCTGCAGTTGACAGCTACTACCTGTAGTGCGTGGCTCCATAAATTTGCTTTATGTCTATTCAATTTTAGTGGTTCTATAAATTTGTATTGGGAAAAAAAATTGTGTGGCTCAATAAAACAAATTTGGGAAAAAGTAACTTTATGTCAAATTCATCCATTGTAAAGATTTTTAAAATCTAGCCATTTAATGAATGGTTAAAGAGATCATGAAAAATGTAATATATATATATATATATATACTCAAGAATAGTGATGTGAACTTCATTCCCAAAAAATAAACTTCTCAAGTAGCCTAAAAAATCATCAAATGTCTCAAATTTCTTCTTTAAGCATGTGGTCTGCCGTTGCCGAGCTTGACAACACTCAAGTATCTTCGCAATACTAAGGATGCATTCCTGGTATACGGTGGTGAGGAAGAGCTAAAGGTGGTCGGTTACACTGATGCTAGCTTCCAAACCGACAGAGACGATTCAAAATCACAAGAAGGATATTTGTTTTGCCTGAATGGCGGAGCTTTTAGCTGGAAGAGCTTTAAGGAGGATACAACCGCCGATTCGACTACAGAGGCTGAGTACATAGCTGCCGCCGAGGCAGCAAAAGAAGCTGTTTGGATCAAGAAGTTCATTACTGAACTTGAAGTGGTTCCTAGTATTAATGACCCTATCTCGTTGTTTTGCGACAACACTGGGGCCATTGCACAGGCAAAGGAACCGCGATCTCACCAGAAAACCAAACACATTGTACGACGCTATCACATCATACGAGAAATCGTAGATAGAGGAGATGTGATGATTTGCAAAGTAGATACTGACGACAACATAGCCGATCCCCTGACCAAGCCTTTAGGAAAGCTAAAGCATGAGGGTCACACTAGGTCCATGGGCATTAGACCGATGCCAGATTGGCCATAGTGCAAGTGGGAGATTGTTGGAGTTGTGCCCTGATGGCCAACTGNAGTGGTTCCTAGTATTAATGACCCTATCTCGTTGTTTTGCGACAACACTGGGGCCATTGCACAGGCAAAGGAACCGCGATCTCACCAGAAAACCAAACACATTGTACGACGCTATCACATCATACGAGAAATCGTAGATAGAGGAGATGTGATGATTTGCAAAGTAGATACTGACGACAACATAGCCGATCCCCTAGGAAAGCTAAAGCATGAGGGTCACACTAGGTCCATGGGCATTAGACCGATGCCAGATTGGCCATAGTGCAAGTGGGAGATTGTTGGAGTTGTGCCCTGATGGCCAACTGTTTATCGTTATTCTATCATGTATAGGCAGATATAATATGTTTACACATCTCATGCTAATGTAAACAAATATTATATTCCTATATTTATATTTAAAAGATGTTTATCAGATAGTGTTTTTCTGCTGATGAGACTAACATCTTGAAATAAATATTTATCTAAATGTCCATAGTCGAGTATTAACGAGAGTGGGATATCGTTAATGCATGTGAGACTAGTGTGTGTTGGATGTTTGACTTAGTCTCATAGTCAATGACGGTGTGTTCGCATCCGCACATAGGCAGATATTATCTAGAGATAATAGGATGCCGGACTGACCCATCCTAAAGATGTTGCTTGAACTTTTAGTTCATGCTCTAAGCATCTTTAGCGCGACCACGGGTGTAACTATCCTTCGACTTGAAGTATTACGTTTTCTGCATATGTGAACCCGCATACTTTGATGCATTGTCCTAAGCCATATGAAATAAGGATGGTATACAGGCTTTGTTTTGGGTATGCCGCAGCGCGTATTCAGAAACGTAGATTACGTACATAGGATTTGTCACTACTCTTTTTAA